TAACACATTACCTCAAAAACATGAGCTCCTACCCAGCAACTCCCTAATTTTCTTTCTGGCTGCACGGGCCTCTGAAGCCGATGCACAGTGGCAATTTTCAGAACCAGAAGAGAATGCTGTGGTCAGTGTGCCAAAGTGATTGCCGTGTGCAGAACCCTGGACCAGCTGTGTGTGCGTATAGGTGCACAGCTAAGAGGGAACGCTGTTCCTATCTTGTGCAATAACCTGAGGCATGTTACCAAATGCCTTCTGGAAAAATAAATACACTGCATCCACCAATTTCCCCTTTATCAACTCTTTGAGGATATAACAAAGAGCTCTAGCAAATTGCTGACGCTGACTCTGTTGCATTCAGCTTTTCAAATACAGCTTGTACTCCATTTTCTTCCTCATAGTCGCTCTTCCTGGATCTCAGCACACTTATTTTCCATCCTCTTGGATTGGGTATCCAAGTGTCAGCAAATGTAGGATTGGGAACTCCACTTATTCTGTACTCTTACTGACCCTTCAGAATTATCTTCGATTTTCACGCACTTATGTGAAAGCAGGACCACGATTAAAGTTATTTAAATGAACAGTTCTTCACTAAATGCAACTTATTTTATTTTATTATTATTTTAATTCTGAAGATTTTGCAAAGAATTAATTTGACTGTTGTCTCTACAAATGCTCATCTACTTCCTGTTCCAGCATTTTACTTTGTTTGCTTTAGATTTTCAAAAGATTATGGAAGTTGAGCAATTTTAATAAGACCATAGAATCCCTACAGTGTGGAAATAGGCCCTTTAGCCCAACATGTCCACACTGACCCTCAGAGCACCCACCCAAACCCATCCCCCTGTAACCCACCTAAGCTACACATCCCTGAACACTACAGGCAATTTAGCATTGCCAATCCACCTAGCCTGCACATCTCTGGACTATGGGAGGAAAACCACGCAGACACGGGGAGAATATGCAAACTCCACACAGACAGTTGCCCGAGGGTGTAATTGAACCCAGGTTCCTGGTGCTGAGGTAGCAGTGCTAACCACTGAGCCACCATGCCGCCCATAAGCAGCTCCTTCAAGAAATACAACCTCATTATAGTGAAATACTAAGCAAAAATGTATTATGTCTTCTAACATCTCTTGACATTTCTTTTTTGTGATTTGATAAATAGCAAATACATAGAACAGCAACAACTTTCTATTGGAAAGAATCTTTGGATCAATTTGCATATGGCCCCAGAACCATATTTTTATGAACTGATTGCACACTGCTATTGCAATACTTAATTTCTCTGAAAGTAAATGGCCAATTTATTCCATTTATTGTACTCTTTAAAACTGTCTGCCCTCATCACTAAACAATACAACTTGTTTCAATCCATGACTGAATAAATCCCAAAAGTATGAGACAGTTTAATATTTAATACCACTGTGACTGGAATGTTACTTTACCGAAAAATGTGTGAAAATATCTTTGATTTCCATTTCTTGTATTGAATATGAAGGCTTGTTTTGCCTTTTATATGTCCATACAAAGGGAACAACTAGAGACCGTGTCTTCCATTCAACTGGTTTGTCTCAGAAGTATTTTAGGATCACAAAGTTTTACATTAATAAACTCAAAGGATAGTTTGTGGGAGTTTATGGGCAAAGGAATTGATGGCAGATCAGAGACTACATTTTTCAGAGTAATAATGGGTCCAGTGTGGTCAATTTCCAGCAGTTTACACTTTAAGAGTACAGCGGTCTGAATGACTGCTTATATAAATAAGGATTGGTTCTAACTTAAATCATAAAGAAGTTCAAACTCCTGGATATAAATAAATTTTATTATTGTAGATTATATTAATAGAAAATAGAAGAACGATGTAAAATGTATTTTAATGTGCAGTCTGAACATGTTAGAATCTCTCAGTTCAAACTAAATTGCATTTGGAAATCCTAGAAACCTTTCAGGAAACTAACCTAGATCTTGCATCCCAAATGGATATTGTGCCCCATTTTATCTGAAATAAACTTTTGGCAATAGAATCCAGTCTATGTCAATTTGCCCAAGAAACTAAGTACTTGCACGTTTTCTATTAACAGTTGACTTCAACACATCAAAAATCACATATAAATAGCTTAAGAATATGCACAAGTCAATACGGGATACGTACTAACTGATTTAACCAAAGGTATGGGTTACAAAAAAGTTCTCTCTCAATTAGCATTCTTCCCCAAAGTTGATCTGAAACACTGTCAAATTCCAGAAAATTGAACATTGCTCATTAGAATGTTCTGGAGTTCGATTTACAATAAAAACTGAACATAATCATATAACAGCATTTTACAGTCCTTATTCTTGTTGGTTGGGTGCGCTACTATGCATGGAAAATAGATCAGACCTCTAATGGTAATAGAGGGCAAAACTAACCAAAAACACTAAGTTTTTATAGGATTCTGAATGTTTAAAATTGTCTTTCAAAGCCATACATTACTTTTGTCTGATTAGGAGGTTGCACTATTATAACTTGATGAATACTACTCTGACCTGATAATAAAGGTGCCTAGAATAAACACAATGACTTGTGAAATACAGCAGTGAACACAACCCACTACTTTGGACTCGCTGTTCAATCTTTTAATTTCCAAGCACAAAATAAGTTCAAGATTTTCCAACTATTGATGGCAATCATTTGGAAAGATGTCAATAGCTTTCACTGCACTTACTTTCTTATGGTTGCAAATACAGAGCTCAAGTTTAATTAAGATTCACTAATACCCAAAATACATTTAATGCTCATTCTTCACCCTATTAAAAAAAGGCCCACATTTCACATTCTGACTGTGTAAGTGTATCATTTGATTGGAAAACTTTGGAACATTTACCCACACGATTAAAAATACAGCTTACTAAAATCTTCAAAAGTCTCTCAACAAGGTCTGGATGCCACAAATGTTATTATCTTTATAATTACGTTATTCTCAGATGCAGTGCATCTAATCTATTTAAGAAAACATATTTTCCTCTTTTTGCCTGGTCTAAATAGCAACTTTAAGAGCAGACACTACACAATCAATTTCTTTCACAGCAACAGAAATGTAGATCTTCTGTATACTACACAGGCTGACCTTTTGAAACAGGGTGCTACTCTGGCAGCAAAGTAAGTTTTGTTATAAATGGACCTCAATAGTTTGATTGAGGGGGAAAAATGCTTCACTATTCCCAAATTTTAAAATTCTTACGGAACAGCAACCTTTTCAATACAGCAATATATCCCGAATTAATCTTTGCTCATCAGGAGTCGTTCAATAAAGAAAATAGCGGACATAGCCTTGCATAGTCTTCATGAAATGATGAAATACAAAAAAAAAATTCAAAAAACAAGATAAATTGTTAGAGCAGTACTAAATTGTGGACATACTCAGCTGTACAAAAATAAAACACCCATAAAAACCTGAACTAAATAGGAAGTTTCAAATTACTTTATTATCTTTAATCTGACCTCCAAACATTGTAATGACCCCAAAATTACCGGGGAGGTTGAATCTTCAGTGGAACAAAACCTCCACCCAGCATTGCTCAAGTCCAAACATTCTCGAAATCCCCGATTAAAATCGGAAGATAGACACCAATGCTGTTTTTACTCTCAATGAGATATCTGTTTTACAGAATAATTATATACAAAATAAGTCTGACAATTTCTAAGTTTACCCTAGGGCCAAACAATGCCCGACACCAGGAATACAGGTATAAATGTTTCGATTTATATTATATTTGTAGATCGGCATATATAACCTTGATTTTCATCTTGCGCGTGTGCATGTGAGCACTGATATGGTACAGCTTTGTACCCAAACTGCCCAAAATATGGAAGTAGATTTTTTAAAATTGTAAATGCTGTTTTGAAAATTGAAAATTTTAAATTGAAGTTCCATCCTCCTCTGCACCTCTCCCCCCATCCAACCCTTCCCATGCACAAGAACTGGCTCTCTTCAATGAGTTAGTATATTATTTTGTTTATTTTTAAACAACATAAGTAGCCTGGACTGAAGCCAGAAAGAGTTTTTATTTTAGTATTAATAAGCTAGAAAATGCAGCAAAAATATGATGCAAAACCCACTAAGAATGTACCACACTCATTCAGTACTGAATCATGCAGGGAAAGTTACCATTTAAGGATGCAGTTAGCATTTTACTTTTGTACTGATACAAAGTACATTTGGCTTTGTAGTGATTGTATAATGATTCTGAAATCAGATGCCCAGTGAAGACCGAGCTGGTCTCCAGGAATGAAAAAAAACGAAAATATTGAGTGGAAACAGATGGGCAATTTGTGATAAATGTCAAAACTAAATCAGAGAAGAGACTTACTATTTGGAAAGGTAGAAATGAAAAGTACTTTATAAAGTTTTCATTTTACGTAGTTTTTGCAACAATCTAGCAGCTTACAAAGATAACTTTTAGTGAAGAGCTCGTCTACAGTGTATTGAAGAATGGGCACTCCAGATGACAGTAGGTCTGCACTAAAGGATCAACTTCCACCAAGAATTACACACTAATTATAAATTAATCAAATATTAAATGACAATGTGCTTCTTTAATTAAACTGATATTACTATATATTTGGCAGCACAGAAGCATAGCTGAGACTTGGCTAGATTGCAGAATGAGAAACAAAATACAAGTACAGAAATGACACAGCATTGTATGGATCAAGTCAATAAACAAACACTATGAAAATCAGTAAGTTTAAAATCAATGTTGATCAATTAATTGCAGAACTGGAGAATTCAGACAAAATATTATGGAGATAGACAGAGACCATAGTTTGGCATCAGACAGGGGAATATTTATAGTTCAACGTGAAGCCATTTTTAGGTCTGAAGTATTATTAGCTGTAACTTTTACAATAACATTCTTCATTAACATTGCTGCTGAACATAGGGGAGAAGCATTGCCAGAGTGAAATTGAACATTATCATCAAAAAAGTGTAGTGCAAAATGTAGCACAAAATGTAGCTTACCTATTCTGGCACACTTCCAAAATATTCCCAGTAGTCTGGAAAACAAATATCTTGCTTTAAATTCAACAGAACATTTGCGAGAAATTTACGGTGTTGAAATCTGAAGGATTACAATTTCAATGAATTTTATAAATCATTAACATATTCATCTTCCCTAGTTTCTGGATTGCTCTAGCAACGTACAGGACAACAATTTTTTTTGTAAAGAGATCCTCTTCACGCAAGATGATGCTTCAGCGACACAGTCAGTCTGTACTAAAAATTGGCACCAAGAATCTCTCATTCAAATATATGATGAATTATTGGACACCAAGTGGCATTTTTGTTGTTGCAAACAATAGAAATTTACATATTGTAAATATAAAAATCAAGGAACGGTTACAAGGTAGATAGAAACAATGGAGCATAAAGAGGAGCTTTGTTCAGTAATGGACTCATGACAACAGTACATATGTTGGATGGGCTCACTGATGGAAAAAAGTGTCAAGAACAGCTAAATTAGCATTTCAGACTCATTAGTGTAATGTGCAGTTTCATAAGCAACAATGATACTTTATAGCGCTGGAGGAAATGGAAGTAGACATACTCAAAATCTGCCAAAGGAAGGCATGAAAGTAGTATCAAATTAGGTTCATTAACTCTATATTCATCTTAAATTGGGTGATGAAACAAAAAAAAACAACTGACCATTGATTTCAAGAATGCTAATTTATGGAAAAGATCTCACTGCTCAAGTCACACCTCATTCATTTCACATCTTTCAGGCACAAAGAGTGCACTTTCTTTAAGAATTCTTCTGTAAATCAAGATGCTGTTTTCAAAAAAAAAGACATTCACATTTTGACTCCACTTTCCTATTTAAGCTGAATACACAAGTTGATTTGCAACTGCGTATTTTAAAATATATTCAGTTTGGAAGGCTTTGCATGGGATTTGCTTGCGAATATCTGAATCATGTAACGTATTATTAGGTTTCAAAGTCTTTTTAATATTACCTTTGATAAAATTTATAAGAAATTATTAAATTGAACATTGAGACAACTGTTGGCAACAATGCAGAATATCACCAAATTTAAAATAAGAGATATCCTGTAAATCAAGAATTGGAGGGCTTTTGCAGCAGTTACTTTTCATTTAATTAATTATTGTTCAGGTGGAATATTAGTTCAAGAGTGAATAAGGATGAGGAAGGGATTCAGAATCCTCTAGGCCGATTTTAGTGGAAATAAGTTTAACTTTTCAAGCTTCCAACAATGCTGCTCTAAATCAATCAATCAATCAATCAGCAGCTCAGACATTCAGAGGTATATTTCTACTATCTGTCTGGGGAGGTGCCTTGTTTTGGTATGCCTTCTTTCTCCTATGTTGTAGAAAATAGTCAAAATGGGACAAGGTACAACGGGTGAGCTTATTTAACACCATTGAGATACAAAATTAAACAACAGCTATAATTAGAGGAGGAGAGAAGGGATCTACTACAAATCCAACTAAATATTGTCAGAGTAATTAATAATTATGTTATACCAAGCTTATCTTGTTCAAACTGATGTCAAATATATAAAAAGAGACACCTTATCGGAACTCAGCTACCAATCCTGCAATTTCTTTTTGAAATCTAATTTTGATAGCAGACATCAATAAACAACCCAGGATTAAATTTCAAAATAAAAAGAACTGTAAATGTAAGTGTCAGGCAAGGATCAGCCAATTGCACGTGCTAACTTCAAGTTTCACAACATCAGGGTTCAGAAAAGATTTATAAGGACGTTGCTGAAACTACCGGGTTTGACCTTATAGGGGGAGGTGGAATAAACTAAAAAATAAATTTTCCCTGGAGCGTCAGAGGCTGAGGGTGACTTTACAGAAGTTTATAACATCATGAGGGGTGTGGGCAGGGTAAATAGCAAAGGTCTTTTCCCTGGGGTAGAGGAGTCCGAAACTAGAGGGCATAGGTTTTAGGTGAGAGGGAAAAGATTTAAAAGGGACCTTGGGGTAACTTTTTCATACAGAGGGTGGTGCACGTATGAAATGAGCTGCCAGAGGAAGTGGTGAAGGCTGGTACAATTACAACATTCAAAAGGTATCTGAATGGGTACATGAAAAGGAAGGATTTAGAGGCATACGGGCCAAATGCTTGCAAATGGGACTAGATTTATTTAGGGTAACTGGTTGACATGGATGAGTTGGACTGAAGCGTCTGTTTCGAGCTGCACATCTCTATGACTTTATAACTGCACCAATCGTTTCTTTTCACTATTGGACCTAGATCTTAGATTACATTTGAAGATTTGATGTAAAGTCTGAAGAACATGGCTTTTAGTCATGAAGTAGCAGAGATAAAAATATTTCAGACATAGTCAAATATTTCTTGTATGATTTGAAAGCTCTGTTGAAAACCTCTACTTCTGTCTTTACAGCATCTGTCCATCAGCTACAAGGCACTAGTCAGGAGCTTGACAGAATATTCTGAAAGCAAAAAATGCTGGAGGTCAAAGTGGGTCAGGCAGCATCCAGCGCAAGCTAACATTTTGAGTGTAGATGATTCGGAGCTGAAGTGTAGAGGGGGCAGCATTTATGCAATAGTTGGGGGGGGGAGGGGTGGGGGTGCAGGATTGGAGTGCTGGGGAGAAAAGATGTTGATAGTTCGGATTAAGTGATTGGAATGTGAGAAAGGCAGAACAATGGTGTGTCTAACTGACAGACTGGACAGCACAGACAGTCCCACTGGAGTGGGGGAGGGGAAAGAGGACATGATGACAGAGAATGTAACAAGCAAAGCCGAAAGATAGGGAAGGAAAGGGTTCACAATTTGATACTGTTGAGCTCAATATTGAGCCCAGAAGGTTGTAAAGTGCCTAGTTTGAAGAGGAGATGGTGCTCCTCCAGTTTTGCTGTGATTCACCAGAGCATTACAGCATGCCAAGGATAGACAAGTGGGCATGTGAGCAGGACGCGGTGTTAAAATGACTGGCTACGAGAGGGTAGGGGCATGCTTGCACACGGACCAGAGGTATTCTGCAAAGCAGTCACCCAGTTTGGTTTCTCCAACGTAGAGCAGGCCACATCGGGTGCAGCGAATACAATAAACAAGATTGGAGGAATACTCTCTACTTGCCTCATGAGTGTATCATCAACGATATTCAAGAAGCTCAACATTATCCAGGACAAAGAAGCTGGCTTAACTGGCACTCCATCTAACACCTTCAACAGTTACTCCCTTCACCACTGATGCACAGCAGAAGCAGCGTGTGCCATCTATACCTTGCAATGTAGTAACTCACTAAGGCTCATTCAAATGAACCTTTCAAACCTAGAAAGCTATCTGAAAGGACAGAAGCAGATGCTTTGGAATACCATCACCTACAAGTTTCCTTCTAAAACTACACAACAGCCTGATTTGAAACTAAATCATTGCTCTCTCATTATGACTGGGTCATAATCCTGAAAATCGTTTCCCAGAAGCAAGGGTATACCTACCCTTCACAGACTACAGTGGGTCAGGGAGGCTGCTTGCTATCACCTTATGAAGAGCAATTTAGGTTGGACAATAAATGCTGGCTTAGTTAGTTATGCCTACATTCCATGAAAATACAGATAGAAATCAGACACAAATTGCTATATATATTATACTTTTAGCAGCAATTACTACTTTGTTCATTCCTAACAAAAATCCCAAGGCCCCTCAGATCACAAAAACGTGGTCGGCCATTACATCTTCTCTGTATAGACTAACTTTAATTTTACTTTTGAAACAATCAAGTCTAAAACGTTCAATGCTGGAATGAAATGTAGATAGGCAAGAAGAATTGGCAGACAAATGGCAGATGGAATTGAACACAACAATGAAGCAATGCATTTGGCAGAAGGGATAGACAGGGCAAAACAGACTAAATGGTATGGGAGTTGTGGGGGGGGGGGGGGGGTATGGTTGCATGTACAATGATTTTGAAAAGGTAGCAGGACATATATGATTTGCTAATCATTATCGCTATGATCTTGAGCTTGACAAATAGAGATATTAAGCACAAAAAGCTGGAAGTTATGCTGAACCTATAATCAAACTCTGGTTAGGTCATAACTAAAATATTGCATCTGGTGCTGATCACCAGAGTTTAGGAAGGATGCAAGGGTACAGAACAGATTTACCAGAATAATTCCAGTGGTGACAGATTTTAGCTATAAAGGATTGATTGGAGAACCTTTGAGCAAAGGAGATTCACAGATTTTATGCATCAAATAAATCTTCCCCTCCCCTTCACTGTCTGCATATCCCTCGGTGATACCCTGGTCTACTCTTCAATAACTTCCTCACTCCCCCATGGCACATTCCCATGCAATCGCAGAAGGAATTACATTTGCCTATTCACCACCTCCCCCACTGTTCAAGGTCCAAAACACACTTTCCTGGTGAAGCAGCATTTTAGTGGTGCTTCGTTCAGTCTACTCTACTGGGTTCACTGCTCACAATGCAGTCACCTTTATTTTGACGAGACCAAATGCAGACTGGACAATCACTTTGCCGATCATCTCTACTGTCTGTAGGAATGGCCCTGACTTCTCAGTTGCTTGCCATTTCAATAAACCACCTTACTTTCATGCTAACATTACTGTCCTGGATCTACTACAATGTTCCAACAAAGCACTAAAGCTTGAAGGCAACACCTCATTTTATGCTGAAACACTGTCCAGCCTCAAGGTCTCAACATTGAATTTCATAACTTAAGAAACAGACTGCATTATGCCTGTTCTCCATTCTTCTTACATTCTCTCCCTTTCACACCTTAAGTTACATCTCTTACCATTAACAACCCCTTTGTCTTTTGCACTGGGCCTCCAAGCAGTCTCCCTTTTGCTCCTCTTCAGTCTCTGACAGAAGTATAAAAAACCCATTTGCCAATATCTTGTAGTTTTGAAAAACAGTAATACCAGACAAAAATTAAATGGTTATCTCTCCACAGATGCTGACAGAACGACTGGAATTTATCCAGCTTCCTGTTTCAGATTTCCAGCATCTGCTTTTGCTTGAAATTTACGAGAGATTTGATAGAGTGTACAAGATCATGGCAGTGTTTCATGACGTAGACACAGAAAAACTTCCCATTAGCTGATGGCATAAGATCTGGAAGGTTTTGGCCAAGATGTGCAGAGTAATTTGAGGACGTAAATTATCACATGACTGCCATTGACATTGTGACCAGGGAATATCATGAAACATAGTATCTGAGTTGACAACTCATGAAATAAGTGAAGCAGCAAAACTGATGATTATATGAAAACATTATCAAACAATTACTTTGGTGATGGAAAAAAAAAAATCACTCCTCAGAAAATCAATCCTTCAAATTCTACATTTTTCCAAATATTCTAAAAGGAGCACTATCGATCATATCTAGGATTATTGAAAATGCTTCTCAGAGTCACACATTGTTCATCAGGATTTACATTTTTCACAACTCCTGTTTAAGATTAGAGCACTAAGTTTTTCTACCTGTTGTTGACAAATATATCCAAAATCAGACAAAATAGGACCTTTTTCAATGCCTAAAGCAGCTAGCAACTCCAACATTAGTAGGACACTCCCTGCTATATTTTTCCATTTCCTATGTCAGCATTCTTACTAACTCTTAGCAAAACTGCCAATCTGTATGCATTACAGGCAGTTTTGTGCTATGAAATCATGTCTACAAAGAACTACGGTACGACTGTCTAAACTTAATTTAGGATCTTTACACTGCAGAAACAGGATAGTATTGCTCCATCAGTCTGGGTTAGATTTAAGATTTAGTCTCAGGAGGCAAAATACAAGGGCGTAGTTAAATTACACCCACTAGTTTGTTAATATGCATGTGTTCATGTTAAAGGTTAGCTTTGTACTAGTTGTGGTATAATGAACTAGTGGAGAGCCAAATTTGTTTCAGAGTACCTTCTGATAATCTCACATTCAGCATAAAATTATAGTTTGGCTTCTGTTACATTGTTCATCTTGTGTCATTGCAGACACACAAGAACAACATACAGATTTACACTAGAAATAGGTCAATTCCTTCTGCCAATTTCTTTCCCTTTCCAGATGTCACCTTTCAGCTGTGCCTTCTAATTATATGCACTGTATTGTTAAGTGTCTATTGTGCCTACTGTTTAAAATACTTTTTCATGTTTCAGTGCATGTGCGAGGGAAGCATTTACTCAAATTAATTCCTTCTAACTCTTAACGAAATGTGCGGCTAATGTAGCAAACACATCTTTGAAGACATTTCAAACAATTACTTATATTGAATTGAGTCGGAAACAGAATATATTTACTTAACTGAAACCAATTGGTATGATAGCTCCTGTTTTGCACCTTTAGTATAATTCGTAAGCCAAATGTTTATATGTATTAATGTATTGCTGTCTAAGATATATCTAGGTAGTCTAGGTAGGGACTTACATCCTGGGTGAAAAAAAAAGTTCCATGTTGATCAGCCAAGATGACATTAAGTGGGCTCTCAGGCAGATCTAAAGTATCTTTGGGGTGACTTGAAATTTCAACTTTATGACCTGACTGTTGAACTACACTGTTTTTGTTCAGGCAAATACTAGACTTTTCTTAATCACCCAAGGAATTACCAAGATCAATTTGAATTGAGACACAACTAAATTGTTAGACATTATGACAGGGGATGGCATGAGAACATCCAACATAATTCTACTTCATGTTTGTTGTGCTGAACAAATCCTACGCCTCAATCTGTGGTGAGGTGCAATGGACATTCATACAATATCAAATTTTTGAATCAATTGAGCAGATTCCTCAAATTAAAATCAACTCTAAGCGGTGCTTCCTCCTTTTTAAAAGATGAGCAATATTGTAATAGTCTATGCACCAACATCGTCTCATGATTTGTAGATAGATGCTTGTTAACAGGTTAAAATAGCTTAAGATTAATCCTTGTGATTCTGAGGTCAACTAAAACAAGGGAAACATATTTAAAAGGTTGTCTAAGTTTGCTTGTTCCAAATACAATGCAATGCAAGATATTTAATGAAATGCACAGCCATTGCTAATAAAAGTTAATTCTCAGTTTGTTAAAATCTATGTATAATATTCCAGCCACTAACAGTAGCCATATCTACTTACACCATTATATGTGTACTTTCTCAGTATCAATGTGTTATAGTAAAATTGTCAGTATCAAAATAAAAGCAAAACTTCTCTTGGTTCATTTCAGTTCACACAGACAGATACTCAAAGTAAAACTCAAATCTCTTTTTCGTAAAGCAAGACTGCCATGATGCATTTTGCGTAAAACATGGTGATTTAGAAAGATTTATAACAATAAAAAATTAACATGATAAACGAGGACAGATTGAATTGAAGTTGGGCTTTTTCATGTCTTTTAGAGTTCCTCCTGGCAGGTCAGTTAGCTGAATATCTGGTCTGTGATGCAGAGTGATGCCAACAATGCAAGTTCAATTTCCACACCAACTGAGGTCACCACAAAGGGGACGTGATAGCATAGTGGTGTTATCGTTATTATCTTCCATGGTGGATGGTGGAATTTGAATTCAATAAAAATCTGAAATTGAATCAGTGGCCGTGAGGTCTTATCCAAATGTCAACATCTGGTTCACTAATGTTCTTTAGGAAATGCCGTCTGAGGAAATTTCAGATCCACAGTAATGTAGCTGACTCTCAACTTGGGAACCCACTAAGGGATGGGCAAAAAATGCTGGTTTAGCCAGCAATGCCCACATCCCAAGAATGAATTTTTAAAAAATTCCCACCTTCTCAACCTCACCCGAGGTACAGTGATCCTTGGGTTAAACTCACCACCAGTTATTTCTTCCTAATGAGAGCGAGCTGTTCTCTGGACTATGGTGACTACATTTTTTTTAAAACTTGTGAGGGAAAAACCATCAGTTAATGCCCAAAGACCAAGAATTCCTAAGTCAATAGAAATCATAAATATCCAGTATTAAACATATTTTCAAATGCAGTCTGTTGCATTTGGTCACATTTTAATTTTTGAACTATTTTGATAAACTAATTTAAAAAGTCAAAAGATACAGTGCCCCCTTACCCAGTTTTATTTTTGTCCAGAACACTAGGAGCTAGGGCTCTGATGTAAGCACAGGTACATATCAAGAGTAGTATCACCGTCAGTAGGCTCTGGAAGTTGAAAATTGCAGACTGTGGGGAAAAAAAATCACAATGAGAATTTCTTTTGGCCTGCTGGAACACAGATTACTGGTTAAAATGTAACAACACAAATAAAGTAAACAAAATAGGAAAACATGAAATTTAAACATCTTGGATAAAATCCTGTGCATCACACACACACACACACACACACACACACACACACACACACACACACGAGTCTGAGCACACGAAAGCAGAGCTGGTTCAATGAATTCACAAAATTGCTTGAGGAATAGGCCATCAAGATGCAGAGGGATATTTGAGAGAATGTCAGAATACAGATAATTGAGAGGGTTCAGTTGCAGGCAACTGGCAGTTCTGAGTCATTTCTGCAGACAAAGTGCAGGTGCAAGTTTGCATTGCGTCTCCCCAGTGCAGAGGAAACCATGTTGTGAGCAGACCCTCGCACCCAGGACTTGTCATGACATGGGCTGCTTTCAGCTTGGCCTACCCATTTTCACCTACTTATGGTGTCAATTATCAGCTTTTCTCTCTGCCTGGCATACTATCATCCATCCATTTGTCTCCTCAACAGCCATTCTCTCTCTGGGCTCCGTCTTCATCTATTTCAGAAAAGATACAAGATGTGCTGGAAGCAGTTCAGAAGATTACTAGATTAATGTCAGAAGGAGAGGGTCATCTTGAGGAAAGGTTAGATAAGCAATGCTTGCTACTGGAGTTTCAAACAGTAGAAGTGGCTTGAAACAAACAGAAGAACGAGAGGTTTTGATAGGGTGCATGCGGAAAGGATGTTTTCTCTGGAGAGTGAACTTGGAACTAGGTGTCACTATTTCAAGCTAAAAAGTCACCAATATAAGACTGATTGAGAATTTTTTTTTCCTGGGGTGGGAGTGGGTGAAGGTTCATGTATCATAGAAATTCTCTTGCACAAAAGTCTACTTTTGAGCAGAATATCTTTGAATATCCTTAAAGGCAGAGGTGGCTAGATTCTGGAGAAGCAATGGGGGGAAAATTATCAGGGGTAGCCAGCAATGTGTTGCAATCACTTCAGCAATGATCTTATTAAATGGCAGATCAGGCTTTTAGGCCAAAATGACCTACCTTTGTTCCCAACTTGTATGCTTGTATGCACTTGTACTATTTCTGCATAATTTTTACTTTTGCATTATAAACTTAACTATGAAGTTTGGTGCAGATGTTTTCAATCTCCATAACATCTGTCAAGTCAAACCCATCTTTCAGCAAGAGGGGAAGAAAAGGATGTATTTTGTTTGCTGTTTCTCTAACATAATAGTAGGCAAACCTGCAGCTCAAGTTACAAGGCTCTGTACAATTGCACTTTCAATGTAAAGATGTGGTATTTTTATGCTGTATATCTATAATAGAGCTGTTTGGCAGTCAGTTTTATTTTGTATGTTTACAGGGATACAGGGACTCCAAATTATGCCATCCTGCTCCAACTCAGTGCTCCTTGCATGGTTTTCATCTGGCTGCTGTAAAAATCAACAGAATACAAAATGATCTTTACGTGACAAAATGAAGATTAAATGATAGTGTTCGCCATTTATCAATTGCTACATCTTAACAGAGCACCTCATACAATTGCATTACTTCCCTGCCTTCCACTGATGTGTGCTATTCACTATGGATCTTCCACTTCCAAGTTATTTCTGTAATGTCAGTCTTTAATGGTAACCTTTAAGCCCCATTCTCTAACATTACTGCCCCTGCCCCATACCAGATCCCATTTTTCCCCATCTTAATCTCTCAAAGCTTATTTAAAATTAACTCTTATCCAAACATTTGGTCACAAATTAATCTTTTGGTGAATTACTAGTTATTAATAACAACCTGAAGAACCAAGGGATGTCCTTCTGCCCCAAATATTACATGCAAGTCATGGCTCTTAAAAAGCACATAACAGGGAAGAGCGTAAGTATTTATATTGATTGCAAGGCATTTCCTTCAGTCAGGCTTGCACCCCTCTCAGTGCTGTAACTATCATTACCAAAGTCTCAAATTACACCCTACACAAAAGGTCAATTTTATCTGACTTGTATAGAAATACCCGAGACCGTTGAGATAGAGCTCACTCAAGTCACACCTTAAATGGGGTGGAAATGGAGAAAAGGTTGGACAGGCTGGGCCTACATCCATTGATGTTTAGAAGAATGAATGGTGATCTAATTGAAACACAAGATCCTGAGCAGACTGCTAGGGTGATGCTGAAAGAACATTTTGCCTTGTGGAGAAATGAACACCAGGATACAATTTAAAAATAAGGGGTCTCTCATGTAAGGAATAAGATGAGGAGGAATTCTCTTGGAAAGAGCAAGAACTGCAGATGCTGGAGTCAGCAACAACACAGCGTGGAGCTGGAGGAACATTGCAAGTCGGGTAGCAGAGGAATTCTCTTGCTCTGAGCGTCAGGAATGTGTTCAAACTCTCTCCCTCAGAGAAAGATGGAGGCAGGATAATTGAATACTTTAAATATAGAAATTAATTGATTACCTTGTTAGTGAATAGGTGGGAAATTAGAGACCACAATCAGATCAACTATGATCTAACAGAATGGAAGCGTTGGCTAGGTGTACTTGTGTTTGTAATTCTTATGCATATATTGTTATGCAAGTTTCATAGCTAATTACTGCAAACATGCATTTGAAAGGATTGACGAAAATTTGAGTTAATTCAAATTCTGTGGCAATTCTTTTATTATTTCCACTTTGTTAAAAAGAGGTCAGAGGATCACTTTAGAAATGATGTATACTCCTAAGACAATTTCCTCCATACATTTTGCCGTCACCTCTTCATGGTTTGTCCTGTGGTAGGATACGACATACCCAGGGATAATAATGGTGCTGTCTGACTCTCAATCTGAAACTTATCATGCTATGTTAGACTGTTGTTTAACTTGTTTGTGGGGCAGTTCTACAAATTTTGGCTCAAACTCAAAGACATTAATAAGGAGGGGATTACAGGGTCAACAGAGCTAAGGTTGTCATTTGCCTAAGTTGATGTTTGTTGTGTAAAGGGCAAAAACGGGAAAAGGACCAGCTTAAATCAAGGATAGTAAGAACTGCCGATGCTGGAGTCAGAGATATTTCTGAAGAAGGGTCCTGACGCGAAACGTCAGTTTTCCTGCTCCTCTGATGCTACCTGGCCTGCTGTGTTCCTCCAGCTCCACACTGTTACCTTAAATCAAGGACTGTGGAAGGGGCTGCTGCACTTTTATAAACAAACAACTGAAACTCACTACTTGCTTCGTTCAAGCACCTTTTTTTTGGGGGGGAGCGGAAGAGAGCCGCGAGGAGGGTCAGGGAAGACGCTTGAGATGCCATAGCATATTGGGTCTGTATGCAGAGTAAGCTTCACCCAGCCACAATGCTGATTGCACAAACCTATCAGGACCAGTTATGAGGGTCAGGGGTCATTAGCGTGACAACCCTATAACTCCTGGGCAGGTGAACAAAGAGGTCCGAACAGTATAGAGGTAAAAGGGCTTAAGACAGCATCTCTCTTTCCCTCTCTCTGCAATAAAATGAACAAAAATTAAAAGATAGCTGATAGCAAGTTATGTAGATTAGCTGAGATAACAAGGTGTAGAGCTGGATGAACACAGCAGGCCAAGCACCAGAGGAGCAGGAAGGCTGACGTTTCGGGCCTAGACCCTTCTTCAGAAAAGATAAGCTGTTGCCTCTAACCAATGATTGAAAGACTGAACAATCAATGTGCCAACTGTCACTACGCACTATCCTATCGTTTACTCCCTACCCCATCCCCCTCCCTATTTTCTGCAGATTAACTGACATTTTCCGAACCAACATTAGTTCTGAGGAAGGGTTACTGGACCCGAAACTTTAACTGATTTTTTTCTTCACAGATCCTGCCAGACCTGCTGAGCTTTTCCAGCAACTTTGTTTTTCTTCCTGATTTACAGCATCCACAGTTCTTTCAGTTTATATGTGCCAACTATCCTGTATCTTCAGCAAAGAATTGACAGGATCTCAAAAAAGAAACGAGATCAAAGATCAGAAGGACGTGAGGGTGAAAAAAAAGAACAAATCCTGTGGACTGGTGCTTTTAAAATGTGTTTCTCCCTCCACTAATAACGTCAATGCTTCTTTGTCTGTGTCTGTCTGCATATGAGTAAAGGGGTTCAGGAATGGGCTACAGTTTAAAGTTAGAGACTTATAAATTGATAATTCACATTTTATTTTCCTATGGTTAGGATTGACTTTTGTGATAAATGATAAGTACAGAAAGCTTGTCAGTGTCTTCTGTTAAACTGAGTCTATCAGTTAAGTAAACTGGTGAACTTTGAGTAATTTGCTTAAAACTTCAACTTTTGTGACAACCCCGAGTGTGGTGGGGTTTGGGTATCAGCGCATTTTCAGAGTGGCTCATGACAAGTGCTGCATGCATTCCTTGCTTTAGATCTTGTGGCAGTCTTGGTACTGAGTAGCTTGCTAGACTATTTTAAAGGGCAGTCAAGTCACATGTAGGCCAAAGTCGAAGACAGCAGATTTCGATCCCTGAAGAACAGTGAACCAATTGGGTTTTCATGATGATCACCATTAGATTTACTTTTTAATTCCACATTTTTTGTTGAATTAAATTTTCACCACTGAAACAACTGAAGGCTTCTTCCAAAGCTGCAACCTCAACCACTTAGAAAAGCAAGGGGAGCAGATGCATGTGACCAGCACTACCACCTTCCTCTCCAAGTCTCGCACTATCCTGACTTGGAACTACATCATTCCTTGAACTCCCTCTTCAACAACATTGTGGGAGTTCCTACACCCCAAGGACTGTAGCAGCTACACATTACCATCTTCAAGGGCAATTACGGGTGGGCAATAAATGCTGGCCAAACCAGTGATTCTGACATTTCCTTAAATGAATGTAAAAAAAACTTTAGTTCACCACAAATGATGCATCTGCCTCTAGGAAATCCTATTTTTCATCATAATGTATCTAACTTGCCTCTTCTGAAATTCTTACTAAAATGTCAGCCACTGTACCAATACTAGTCTATGCCTCAAATTAATTTGCCAATTCACTTTAGCTAGCTCTGCTTTCAGGCCCTTATGACTGGCCTGATTTAAGCTGAAAATACTCATCTTAGACTGACTGATCCCACTGGTGGGAGCCACTTACAAAGTCCCTTCCAAGTTACGCACTACCTTGACTTGAAACCATATCAAGGTTCCTTCACTGTCACTGGGTCAAATAAGAATAAGCTTAGAACTTTCCCTAGGTGGACATTCATACTCATTAGAAGGGATTGCCAAAGCTTAGAATAAGGAAGCACACATTGAAGACAGGGATGAGGAGAAACAATTATTCCGAGGGTAGTGATTCCGTGGAATTCTTTACTGCAGAAGGTTATTGAAGCTGGTTCATTAAGTATTTTCAGGACTGAGCTAGACAAATTATTAATCAGTAAGTGAACCAAACATTTTGGTGAAAAGGCAGAAAAGTGAAGTGAAGAACTATCAGTGTCATGATCAAATTAAATGGCCGAGCAGACTTGACTGGCCAAATCGGCCACTTCCACTCCCATATCTTGCAGTTCTATCTAATCATCCTGGAATTCCTTTCCTAACAAAACTGTGGGCATTTTTACTCCTTAAAGACTGCACCGAGTACTTCTAAACATGACTATGACTAAGATGGGAGGAGTACGCTGTGTCTCGCTAGTCCCACTGTTCCTCAGGTTATAACATTAAAATTTCATTGCCTTATCCACTTCCCAATTATGGTGAATGATATCCTTTCTTTAACCAATAGACTTTTCTTCATGAAAAGAACATGTGGAATATTAAGATGGCTGTTGACCTAGTATTCTAGCACAAACAGACAGATCTCTAGACACAGTTGTCTCCAAGGTTGTGGTTTCAGTAACACAAAGATCACTCAGGGCTGTGGGTACTTCAAAGGCACTAGATCAGTCGG